CTGGAACCCACATTCAACGAAGCGCAGTTTGAAGAACAATTTCTACAATGGGAATACGACATCAACCGCTACGAGAAAGACAATGGAACAGCACTACCAGATGGAAGCAAAATAGCAATACTACTCAACAAAACCAAAGGAGCGCTGCAGCAACACCTCCAACTGCGAGCTGGACAGATCACGAACTACATCGAGATCAGAGCACTCATCTTGGACTACTACAAGACGATTTCAGCCTTCACTAGATCTACTTCAGCAGTAGGAACAAACTACAATGGAGGAGCTGCACCAATGGATGTTGACAACATATGGAGGAAAGGAAGAAACTACAAAGGCAAAGGAAAAGGAAAAGGCAGCTACAAAGGAAGCAAGAGCAAAGGCAAGTACAGGAGTAAAGGACACTACAAAGGATTCGACAAAGGCAGCAAAGGAAACTACAACAAAGGAGGATACAACAAGAGCAAAGGAAAAGGCTACTCAGGATCCAAAGGATATGGATCAAGCAAAGGCTACAAAGGCCAAGGAAACTACAGCAAATCAAAAGGAAAAGGAAGCAACAACTACACAACATGCCATCGATGTGGCAAGCCTGGCCACTGGGCACAAGACTGCAGAGTGCCGGTATGGCACATAGGAGAAGGAGAAGAACTACATCCACTAGAACAAGAACAAGCAGATCACGACAACAATGAAGAACTACCTCAGGATGTGAACGACACTTGGGACTGGTACTACGAAGGAGAAGAAGGACAACACGAGGTGAACTACATGGAGGAGAACTGGAACGACTACGACTATGACAACAGCTGGGATTGGAATGACAACAGCTATGAGGACACAGCAAACTACATTGGAGGCATCAACGAGTCACACCTCACCATTGGACACATCAGACAAGCAAAATCACGACTACACAAGCACCAATCCAAATCACTACTCGGCAAGAAACCAACACACACAACATCATGGAACGACCACAACAAGAGCTTTCAACAATTCCTACAAGAAGACACCACAAAGCTACACTTCGACATAGCAGCAGCAAGACAACAACAAAGGAACAAGAAGATTGAGGACACTATCACCCACTACATCATGTACTCCAACTTCAAGTCATACCACCACCTGTTGATCGACTCAGGAGCACCTACACATGTTTGTCCAAAGGACTACGCACCGGATCTTCCACTACGACCTTGTGGAGAATCAGTTCCACAACTCTACACGGTTACAAACAAGAAGATCCCTGTCTACGGCATCAAGTATGTTCCCTACAAGCAGGACAACACAAGCTTTGAACGCCGCTGGGGAAGAAACTACGAGCGAGCAATCTGCGAATTTGGCGAGACACTACTCTACCTTCCACCACAACACAAGAAACTTCCGAAAGCAGACCTACGGATGCAGAAATACGCATCTGGCTCGGATTTCACCACCAACTACTATGCGACCTTGGACAGTCGACTACAGATGGTCCAAGCCTACCGCACCCATACATTTGAGCTCCTGCTCTACTACAACGAGTGCCTGCCTCACTACTTCCGTCCAGCGCCCTACATCGAGCTGGAACCTGAACAGCGTGAACTACTGAGTGCAGGTCACTACTTTTGTCAATACAGTAGAATTGATGAACAACAATGGTTTTCATCACTACTGTCAATCCATGTTTTGCACTTCAGTTGAAAAGGTACTACAAAGACCTTTTAACTGAGGGGCCGTGTCAAACTACATGCTTCACTTTGCACTTATATTGCATGTATGTTCACTACCGCAGGCCTTGAGCTTACTACTCCGCATGAGTCAAAAGGTTGGCAGCTGCAGACTACATTTGTTGACTGTTTGTTTGAACAATACAACACTTGCACTTGTAAGCAAAGTAACAACCGATTTTAACGTCTCTCTCTCTCTCTCACTCTCAGCCATGTGTGCACTGAGAGGCGAAGCTGCGAGCCGAGACAGAGCAACAAGTTGAAGCGCTCGACGTCGACATGCTGGAGACAGAGAAGCACATCCAGGACCTGAAAGGGATGCTGGACGAGGCCATGTGCAAAATGACTGGCATTGCACTTGGTGTTTTCCAGCTTTCATGCGCAGGCTTATCAGTACGTTGCTGCGGGCAAGAAACCCCGAAGAAGCCAGGCTCCGGGCGTTTGCACTCACACAGTGATTTGATCACTTGGCTGAAAGGTATCGCGTTGACATCTTCAAAATCGTTTTCGCCTGGGCGTCCTTTGCAGCGCCGCGGCACTTTTATCGTCTCCTGGTTCCGAGACGCGTCCAGGAGGCCTTATGGCCTTATGGGCTGTGTAGCTCAGATAGAGAGGGCGGCACTTTGCGAATTCGTGTCACAAAGCCTCCTCGTTTTCAAAAAGTCGACTCGCCGCAGCACTGATATGCATCATGCACGGCCTTTTGACCTTGATCCTCCCGTTCTCTCTGTTCACAAAGCAGATTGCGGCTCAACCTGAGATGGCAAATGACAATACAGCTGTCACAGAACTTTGTTTCGGCAACGCCCAGATTTCAAATTAATCTTCCAGCACACCTGTTTTACAGTAAAGCACTTGGTGCATTTCTGAGCCCTTTGCCTGCTCCTATGCATCGCAGCGACTCCACTGCGTACCAGCTTAGCAGGCGACAACTTCATGTCCATTGATGCGCTCACGCGCATCAAACCGTTGTGTTTTCAAACTCCTGCCCCCGGACCCTACCAAGTACAGTGTTGCGTCCTCAGAATGAGTTGCCATACGTCCCCAGCACGCGCAAAGAGCTCAGGCTCGTGCCCAAAAAAGGATTCTCAAGTCCTCCTCCTCTTGCGCAGACTCCATCGACGGAGCGGCAGAGCCAAATTCATGCGCGGGGCCCACCTTTTCTGGTTCGTGCTATTCCCCAGCTCTCGCGACTTCTTGCTTTTGCATGGCTCTTCACGCGCAACACACAAGTCTTCCACTCATGGCAGTTCCCAGTTGTGAACAAGCGGGTACCTCAAAGAGAGGAGCCCGCAGATATTGAACTTCCTTAAACATGCCTGCGTAGACACCCCACTTTGGGCGGGAAGAGCCGAAAGCGCGGGGCAAAGTGCTCCCCGCCTGCGAGAATACTTTCCTCCGAGCTTCCGCGTTGGTTCCGAGTTTCCGGGTTTCCGAGTTACGGAGTTTGGGCCACGAACACGTCGACAGTGCGCCGTTGACGCTTCTCCACAGAAAGCAATTATGTCTATTCGCTGCTTGGATCGTTTAGAGGGCTCAGTCTTTGCGAACAGAGTTTCGCGGGAACTGCCAACGTGAAGCCGATTTGGAAAGTCTGAGGAGATGACTTCGGAGTAGCTTGAACCTCTGTAGTCGCGAAATGTACCAACAAGTGCACTTGTGTTTCCATCCGTAAGACTGCTAAGTCTCCGAAGCTAGCTTGGTTGCATGTTTTGCCGTAAGGCAACATCACAGCCATGCAATCAATACTGTCATAGAATGGGTCTTGCTCTCCTGTGTGTGCAACAATACCGAACCATTGAGTTGGTGGGATGCAGACGTACCCAAAGCTTGTCAATTGGTTAAAACAGAGATCGGCTTCTTCAGAGATGGCTTTCTTGATAAGCTTTAAGAAATGCCTGCAGACAAGGCCTCCCAATCCATGCATGCGCCGAGCAAAGCGCCCCGCGCAGACCGCAGATGACAGCCCGAGGGTCACACAGCAAGGACTGCCACCTTGGAACCAGGGTGTTTTCAAGGACCCGTTTCCTGCTGCGCGAAAGCTGAGAGCTGGCAAACACCCAGCGCCACTCCCCAGACGCACAGCCAGAGGCAGGCGGTAAACAGAACAGCTCAGAAGTCGAGGCTGGGGCTCAAAGGCAAGGGGCTGGGGCTCGGTGAAGCCCCGAGCTTAATGACTTGCCGCGGCGTTGGAGAAGGAAACCTGAGAAGATCTATCCACGTCTTGTCAGGCCAAGTCCTCCTGGGACCCTTTCCTGTGCCAGGATTGGAACTCGCATTGCGTGAGTGCGCTCACTCTTCTGTACCCTAAAGTGGCGATCGCTCCGGGATCGCATCCATCAGGCGTCGCGGTGCCGCCCGCGCGCCCGCGCGGCAGATCTGGAATCCGCATGGCCGACGTTTGCTGCCCCTTGCTTTTCCCCAGTTCTCGTGCGTTCTTGCTTTTTCATTTGGCTTTTTCATGCGTAACGCATGTGTTCCTTGAGAGAGCCGACCTCAGTTCTGTACTACGGAAGTTCATAGCTAAACGTCATTTTATCATTGAGTCGCCTTGTCTTCACGGGACACCGACGGCTTGCCTGTCGGTGCTTTGGGCAGCTCGCCACACCCGTGGAGGCTGATGCCTGGAACCGCCCCGTGCGGCCGCCTGAGTTGGGCGTGCCAAGCTGTGGGAATGAGGCAGTCTGCCAGTCTCAGTATTGCCAGCTGTCTGGTTGCCAGACATGTCGCCAATGAATATCAGAGGTATGTGGAAAGCGATCGCGTTGTGAGATCGCCCCTGAGATGCCGCGGCACGCTGCAACAGAAAGCCGAGGTGTCCCCAGTGGTGCTGGCAGTGGACAAGTGGAGGCTGCGCAGTTTTCCATCGTTGTTCGTTGGCATGCTACTCATAGACAATTCACGAGCTCGGTAAACGCACACACCCTCACGCATACAACATCACACGGACAAGACCCAGTTGGCACAATAATCAAATCACTTTCATCCCGCGAATTCTCTCACTGTCTTGGTCGTTTCGGCCCCTTGCTTTCCTGGGTCGTTGTCTAATTCGACTTGCTTTGGCCTGGCGCCTTGCCCGCACTGAGCCCGTTGGGCTGCCGCCTTTGGCAGCCTGTTCCTTGTGCTCGCTTCGTTCCGACGCCCTTCAGGCCTTTTGCCGGCCACGCACCAGTTGCAAGGTCCTCGGGGAATGAGGAGGCTGAGGTGGCCGGATCATTGAGTTGCTCGCTGACCTATTTGCTTTGGCCGTGCAGATTTCTTGGATTGTGCGGATTGGTCTCCAGGCATTCTCATCTTACAACAAGGTGTTTCTGCGTCAAACTGGCAGACGTGATGTGCGTCTTTGGGCTTTTCTTTTACCCGCTTATGGCTCAAGACACACTTGGCACAGGTGGCAGCTAAACACGGATCCGAAGACTTGGATTTTGGAATGCAGGTGACCAGTGAGATCCCTCTGGACGAGGAGCTGCTGAGTAGTTTCAGCGGCCGGGGCCGGCGCCGCCTGCGGGAACTGAAGCAGCAGACCGAGACCGTGCTGAAGTTGGACCGTGCCAAGGCCTGTTTGGTGGCACGGGGCAGCGAGAAGTCCATCGAGGACCTAAGGAAACACCTGGAGTCCTTGGTGGGTCATCGCCGGCCCGTGTCCGCCCCCGTCTGGGCCGAGCTGATGCGCACCCGCACCCAGACCAGCTCTGAGGCCGGGAAAGGGAAGGGATCTGCCAATGTTGCCCAGGCACAACTTTTTCCTGGCTTTTTTTCCAAACATTTCATCCTTCGTAACAAAATGACTTTGTCTGCAGTGTCTCAAATGGGCCCATTTTGTGGGGTATCGATACCTCCTTCAGAGGCGGCGGTGCAGCGGATTCAGGAGAACAGTGGGTGCCGTCTGCACATCGAGCGGGGCTGCCAGGAGGTGCGGCTCTTTGGGACGAACGAGGCGGTAGAGGAGGCGGAGCGCCTCTTGGTGGAGCTGGATGCCCGGTGTGTCGTGCAGCGAGTGCCAGGGCTGGTAGCAGCGCATCTGCTGGAGCCCGTGGCCCAGGACTTGGGTGTGACCATGCGCTTGATGCGCCTGGACGCGGAGGCCGCGGAGGCCGAGGGCGCGGGCGAGGGCGACGGCGCCGTGGAGATCCTGGGCCTGAAGCCCGCTGCCGAGGCCGCCGCTGCCGAGGTGCAGAACATGCCGAAGATCGAGCCCGAAGCGCCCATGGCCATGGGCACCGGCACCATGGGCACCATGGGCACCATGGGCACGGGCACACTGGGCACCGGTGTGGTGCCGGGTGGCTTGGGGAGCTTTCAAGAGAAGCGGGACAAGCGCGACTTGCGTCGGGAGAACCGGTGCCCTACCTGCGGGTGCGGGCGGTTCTGTGGCAGTTGCGGTGCCCCCGTCTGGGACAAGGCCCGAGTGCATGCAGCGCAGGCCATGGCCACAGTGGGCCTGGGCTTTCAATGCCCAGAAGGGATGCCTGTTGTCATGCAGGGCATGCAGGGCATGCAGAGCATGCAGGGCGTGCAGGGCGTGCAGGGCACCTTGAACATGAGCGGGCTCGTGCCAGTGCCCGAGCAAGACAGCCCTACTCCGCGAACCCCAGAACCAGAGGAATGGAACTCTGTCTACTATGGAAACGCAAACGGCATGTTTCCAATGTATGGCATCCAAGTTGGACCGGCACCGTACATGCTTGTGCCAATGGATTCAGGCCAGGTACAGAATCAATGCTATGCCCCTGGGCACACGTAGCGGCAAAGTGACATAGCGACAGCGACGACGCGACAGCACCCGCGTGTCGACTGGAGATAGATCTGAGATAGACACTGCATGGCCTGGTGCACTGCACCCAGATTTCAATTCGCCACGCTCGAGCCACCCGAGCCTCCGGCGCCTTCTGACTTGTACAGAGAGTGACCCGCGTTGTCGGGACCGGCGCCAGCTGTGAACAGTTTTGAGGACAAGAGTTTCTTCCCAAAAGGAAGAGACATGATATCTTCCAGCCTCACACCAGGGGGACAATTAACCAACTTGAATCATGATCAGTGCCATGCCCAGTGTTTTTGCAGGTATTTTGGGAGCGAGTCAGGCGAATGGGTGCAGTCTGAGGCAGCGCATTGCGGCGCTGGAAGTCAGCGCACATTTTCGGGCTAGCTGAAAAGCTGAGCCTAGATTTTCTTTTGGTCACTGTGCGAAACCAAGTTTTGAAGCCAGACCGTGCAGAAGATGATACATGGTGAAGTTTCCCACAGTGGCCATAGAGCTGTTCCAAAGTCGGGTTGACCGTCACGGGGTTACGCGAGACTGCAAAAGTCTGGCATGCAGCCCCGTGCTTGCTCGTCGTTGTGTTGTTTCGCGTGTTTGCCTTCATGGAGACTGCGTAGCCCAGGTAGCGCTTCAGAAGCTTTGACTCGCTTGTCAAAAATGGCTGTGGGCTCTGGCCTGCCGCGCTGCCCCTTGGCCTTGCTCGCGTGTCCAAAGCTCTGGTCCGCGCATTGTCATGTTTGCTCTTGGCATTCGGCATCCAGCCTTGTTTTCCGACGCAGGGACTAGTCCTTTTCCCTTTTGCATGGCATGGGCTGTTGAGCGAGCTTGACACTATGCGTCATTTTGCGATGCGCGCCGAGCATCAAGAGAGGGCAGCGCAGCATGTGGAGGCTATCGTACTACAGCCTAGCATGCTTCTGATCAAAGGCCTTTGTGTTGCAAGTGCTTGCTCAGGGAAGACACACAGAGCCAGAGTTCAGCCTAAGTCTTGAAGCTCTTCACGTTATTTTGCACTCGGCTGCCTCCCTCTTGCTCTGATGGAGGCGGTTTTTGTTGACTCAAACCTAGGTAGCGTCGCGTTTTGCCAGGCGGAGTCGCAGCTGGCGGAGTTCCGCGTCCTGCAGGGGCCGCTCTTCAAGAAGCCCGGCAAAGATCCTGCAGGCCCCAAGGCCCACGAGTGAGGTGTGCCGGGTGAATGAGTCGAATGATTCGAATGAGTCGAATGATTCGAATGAGTCGAATGATTCGAATGAGTCGAATGAGTCGAATGAGTCGAATGTGTCAGGTGATAAGGCAGACTCGCAAAGTCGGCACCACCGTCCGCGTGCCACGCGGCCGGGTCCCCAAAAGCCGTCAGACGGGCTCAGGTGCCGACCACGGGTCGTACATGGACTGGTCCAGCAGGTGGCACCTGGGTGGAGCTGGGCGCTATGAGTCGACTTTCGAGGGGCGACGCCGACGTGCCCAGCCCAGGCTGGCGCAAGAAAAGCCTGGCTGGATGCTGGCGCGGCTCTGAACCGTGATCAGGAACAGGGGATGTTCTGAAGGTTGAAGGCCCTGGCTTCAACCAGCCTGGACCTCTTTTAGAAGAGGTGAAGCCGGGAGATGAGGTCAGGACATGAGGCGCACATGCTGTGCAGCTCAGAGCCCGACAGAGGAGCCCATTGTGCTCTTTGCGCTATCCCCAATCGATGATAGCAACTTAGCATGGGCTATGATGGCTATGTCATTTCACAAAATCCCAAAGTTCTGTCCTCAACCTTTGACTTTGCGAGGCAAGTTCTGCGAGATTTGCCTCAAGCCAAATCACACGGTGAAGCATGCCAAGCACTGGCTGGCTTTGCGCATGCCTGGGCTGAAGGCCAGTGCCATCTACAGAGCTTGGAGAGCTAGGGGAATCGGTGCCTCGCGCGTCAGGTTGAGAACATCATCGTAGCCAAGGAGAAGCCAAGCGAAAAGACGCACGGCCAGGGCCTCCGCAACTTCCCCGCCAATTGGCTTCTGGATGACGAGGCGGCCGCGCAGCCGCGCAGATAGACCACTGCACAGTGACTCAGTGGGCTTGAAATGTCAGGTCCGGATGCGGGACACGCCGTTTAAGGACCCTGCTCTCACATTGTGATCACTTCAGATGTTCAGCTCTCAGGACGGCGATGAGCTTGTGTTTTTCTACATGGGTGACGCAGCCCAAGACGTTGCAGCTGCCAAAGAGCGGCTGACAGCCAGCTGAAGTCAAAATGAATGCGCACCGTATGTGGCACAGATACTCTCCTGCACATGCTTCAAGTCACTGGCACCCTGAATTTACTAAATGTATGTTCGCTTCGCAGACGCCACACTTCCCAAGCATGAAGCATCTCACTCTGTGTCGCGGAGCCATGCTGCCTGATGACGCTGGCGAGGACAGCTTAGTCAGTGCGAGAGGGAGAGATGTGTGCGTGCTGGAGAGGAGCCGGAAGTGGCAGGCCGCCCTCAGCGCACTGCGGAGAAGGACTGCGGGATGGAGAGTGGTGGGTCTGGATTGAATGGTAAATCTTGATTTTTGCTCTTGTCTCAGGACCGGCCTTTCACCGAAGGCAGGCACGTGCTGTGGTTTGATGCTCCAAACACTTGAGCACAGATCGCCTTCACGGCTGTGGCGTCTGCCAGATCCCCCCTCAGTGGCCTCCGGCAATGGCTCAGTGTTTTGCCGACGTTGCAAGGTCTCAGAGTCTCCGAATGGCAGATTGCCCTCGACCTCCTCACGCGGGATTTGGCGCTGAAAGGTGTGAGCCTGGACCAGCGATCCTACTGCCTTGGGCTTGGCTTGGCCTATCTTGGCCTCTCTGCCTCTCGCTTCAGCTCCTATATGTTCCCATGCCTTGCGCTGGCTCGTTACCTCTCGTCCCCTCTCGCGATGCGAGGCACCGCCCTGACGGCCTGCGAGCGCGGCCTGCAGTGGCGGAAAGCGCTGCTGCTCTTCGAGGAGATGCGGCGCCAGGCGCGGCCAAGCGGCTAAGCGGCCAAGCGGCCAAGCGGCCAAGCGGCTTCGAGATGTAAGCGGCTAGAGATGTAAGCGATGTAAGCGATGGAGGCGATCCAGTCCAATGACTTCATTTGCTCGGCGGCAATCAGCGCTTGTGGCAAGAGCACCAAGTGGCGCCTTGGATGTGTTGTGTGCGAGTCATGCGCAGCACTGTACATATCTAGGCCAACGTCCTTGCGCTTGCTGAGAGAGCTGACGGAGGCCTTGGAGCCGTGCAAATTCAGCATCAACGCAGTCCAGGTCTTAGTGCCAAGCGTGAGTGAGTCCGTGAGTCGGGCGAGTCGGGTCAGTCAGGTCATCCACGCCCTCGCCAGAGGACGAGAGTGGCAACGTTCCCTCCACCTTCTGGAGCTTTTTAAAGGAGCGGTCGATATGCGAATCGATGCGAATCGATTCGAGTCGCCGAGTGTAGGAGATGTGGTGACCTTCAACGCAGCCCTCGCGGCTTTGTCGGGGTCCGCGCTTTGGTCGCATGCCCTGGCCATCTTCGAGGAGATGCCGATCCGTCGCTGCGACCCGGATGTAGTCAGCGCCACTTGGCCGGAGTCAAGACGTGTCAAGACGTCTCGAAGCGAAGCAGAAATCGAGGCAGTAACAGTGAAGGCGAAGGCAGAGTGTAAGTTTCAAAGTTTTCCAAGTTTTCTGAGTTGCAAGCTGAAGTTTCAAATAAGGTGAACACGGTGGCCAGCGCGTGCGAGCGTGGCTCTGCCTGGCGCCGGGCACTGGCGATGCTTCGAGACGCGTCCGAATCGCAGGTTGACCTCGTGGCCTTGGGAGTGGAGGCAGCAGCACACGGGCGCGCACAGCACTGGGCCGTGGCTGTGGCGGTGTGCGAGCCCCAGATCTGCTTCAAAGTTCAGCGAAAGCTGGCTGTGCGTCTGAGGCTTGCAAAGACGCAGGCAATGCAGTTGCAACGGGGCCGCGGCGCCAACAACAGCTTCCTGGGCAACATTGTACTTTCAGCATGCGACAAGGCAGCTGAATGGGAAGCTGCCTTGGCAGTTCTTGAGAGCATGAAGGTGTCAAAGGCCGCAGATTTGGTCTCCTTCAACACCTGCATATCAGCAAGTGCCACGGCAGCGCGGTGGCACATCGCCCTGGCCGAGCTGGCCTCAGAGGGTTCAAGGCATACTCATGCGCACGCATCCTATGCGGCCTGTGCCGCCTATGCAACCTATGTTGCACCAAGGTGTTGAGCGGTGGCTCTGAGCACGATGTTGTCAGCTTCAGCTCCTGTATGAGCGCGTGCACCAGCAGCAGTCAATGGCAGGTCGCTTTGGCACTCTTGCAAACCATGCCCCAATTCACCATTCCCGTGAACCAGGCAGGCATACTTTGCGAAGAGCTTGCTTTGCATCGTTTCATGCAAAAAGTATCATTGATTCTTGGCTCGGGCATCCGTGCAAAAAGTAGCATGCTTCTTGTCTCTGGCGCTAATGAATGATGCTTCGGACGTCCATGCACAGGGTATCATCGAATTTTTGTCTCGGGAGTCCATGCGAAACGTTTCATTGATTTTGGCTCGGGCTTCCATGAAAAACACAACTATTAATTTTTTGGCCCGCACCGGTGCAAAGAGTATCATTGATTCTTGGCTCTGGAGTCCGTGCAAATACAATCGTTCTATCCTGGCTCGGGTGTCCATGCAAGAGTATCGTTGATTCTTGGCTCGGGCGTCCATGTAAATAGTATCGGAGGGGCATACCTTTCCCCCCCCCCCTGCTTTTGGCTTCTTGGATTCTGTTTGGCTTCTCAGCTTCTTGGCTTTTTGGCTTTTCGGCTTTTCTGGCTTTTTGTGGGCTTATGTGTCTTTTGGTGGCTTCGGCTTTTATCGGGTTTATGCTTCTTTCGGTGGCTTTTGCTGGCCTTTCGGCTTTGACTTTTGGCATTCTTTGCTTTCCCAGTTCCTCTCCCGCAGGTGGCTTTTTGGCTTTTATGGCTTTTCATTGGTTCATGCGGCTTTTTCATTGGTTCATGCGGCTTTTTTTGGCTTGGATTTTTTGCATCCTGTGCTTTGCCGGTCCCTCTCCAGCAGGTGGCTTTTGTGCCCTTTGCAGCCTTTCGTATTTGTTTTATTATGGGTGTGGCTCAAAATTTAAGAGCCAGGATTACGCAGGTTTTAGTTGTTGGTTCCATTTACCAAGGTGCCATTTTAGGCACCTATTTTTGAGCCACAGCCATATTCGTCCAAGCGAAAAGCATCATTGATTGGTGGCTCGGGCGTCCGTGCACAAAGTATCATTTTATTTGGACATCCATGCAAACAGTTTCATGATTCTTGGTTGGGCCTTCCATGAACAAGTATCATTGATTCTTGGCTCGGGCATTCAGTCCATCAGGCGTCCATACAAAAAGTATCATTTCATTGATTCTTGCCCGGGTGCCCGCAAAACGTGTCATTGTATCTTGGCTTGGGCGTCCGTGCGAAAAAAAAAAATACCCAGGCGTCCATGCAACAAGTGTCATTGTATTTTGGCTGGGGGTCCATGCAACAAGTTTCATTGATTCTTGGCTCGGGCGTCCATGCGAAACGATGTTGTCAACCTTGCAATATTTGTGTTGCCGCTAATGTTCTGCTTTTGCGACACAGGCTCTGGTTGTTCTCTGAATCGCTCAATGGGAATCGGGGACAAGGTGCAATAAGTTGTAGGACATTGGAAAGACGCCCTGAAGGTGGCAATGAATGCTGGGATCTCCGCAGCAGAAGCCGGCCTTCAATGGCGCTGGGCTTTGCAAGCCTTGCGGCTGTCACATCTGCGAGCAGACTGCATCACTTACAATGCCTCCATTAGTGCTTGCAGCAAGAGCTTGGAATGGCAGCGGGCTTTGGGCCTGCTTGCAGAGCACCCCTCCGAAACTGGCTATGCTGCATGCATGCTGGCGCTGGAGTGGCAGCAGTCCCTGGACTTGTTGTGGGCCATGCAGCGGTGCAGGCTGGTGCCGCAGCTGGGGTCGCTGTCGGCGCTGCTGTCGCGGCCCGAGCTGCAAGGCCCGTTAGGCCCGTTGCACCCACGGCGCGGCTTGTGGCTGGCGCTGCTGCGGCTGCTGCCTGAGGCGTTGGAGGCCGAGGTTGCAGCTTCCAGTTGCGGTTCCAGCGCCGGCAACTCGCAGGCGGCGCGCTGCGCCGTCCTGCTTTGTGCGGCAGCAGAGCTGCGGCAGCCAGAGCTGCTGGCAGAGCTTGGGGAGTGGAATCGCCTGGCCGAGCTGCTTGCTGCTTCGTTGTCCCCGTCCCCTTCGTCCCCTTCGTCCCCTTCGTCCCCGTCCAGTCGGTACAAGGTGCTTGCACCAGGTCCAGGCCCACCGCGAGGCCTGCGGGCGGGCAGGGCCAAGGAGCTGCGGCTCTTTCAGCATGTGCTGGCGACGGCGCTTCCGAATCCGGCGTCGGTGTGCGAAGCCATGGAGAGCTTCGGCTGTCGCTCGAGCGCCCACGGCTTTTGGCTGAAGCTCGCCGCCGGCGCCAAGGCTGATCTGCTGACAGCAGCACTGCGTGGTGCTCCCCCAGGCCCCATCCTGGAGATCGGCACCTACTGCGGGTACTCGGCCTTGCGCCTGGCCAGCTGCGGTCGCCACGTCGTGACCCTGGAGGCAGTCAGCAAGCATTGTGCTCCTTTCCCATAGTCTTCACAGGTGGACCCCATCCATGCCGTGATCGCCAAGAACCTGATCAACTTTGCAGGCCACGACTACCAACACGTTGGCGACTCTTTCCGTGACTCTTTCCCTCTTTTGCCGAATGCCAGGGATGAGCCACAGCATCCAGGCAGGCAATGGACATGCAAGGCATCGGCAATCCTTGTAACTCCAAGGCTGTTTTGGCAGGTATTGATGGGCCACAGCAAGGATTTGATTCCCCAACTTGCGGGACCCTTCGCGCACCGAAGCTGCACCTGATGTGACATGGTAGCTTGCAAGGAAGCGCATTTGAAAGGGTGCTTTTGCAGGTTTGTCTTCATGGACCAAAAAGGATCTCGCTTCCACCAGGAGCTCACTCTTCTTTTTTAGTCTATCTCTGCCTCTAGTTTGACCCGCCTGCTCGGCAGGATTTGGAGATGCTGGCGGAGAATGACCTACTTAGCGAGGGGGCCGTGATTGATGCTCGGCTGATCACATGAGCGCTCAGAGTACTTGTGTTGCGGCCTGAGTGCTTGAGGTTGCGGATAATGTCTTGAAGCCGGGCGCGCCCGTTTTCCTTGCACAGTTGCAGGACAGAGCTGACCTTTCCTAGGGTCACAGGCTTTGCACACAGCTCAGGATGGAGCTTTCCACGGGGACTCGTTTACCACAGAGGCAAGGATCGAAGCTTGCAATCTGGAAATAGCTGTGGATGACAGATCGTGGAGCTGAAAGAGTTCGGGATGGAGACGGACGACTGGATGCCGGGCCAAGTGCGTATGCTCCAGCTGTGAGCTTGAGCTGCGGAGGTCTGTGAGCAAGAGGGCATGCAAGAGCCACCGTACCTTCCAGGCCGAGTGCACGTCTGCCAGACTGTTGCCAAAAGTGTCCAGCTCAGGTGTCGGCCTCCTTGCAGGAGTTGCAGGAGGACTCCGACAGCATGCGGGCCAAGGCGCGTTTTCAGGGCGCCTTGTTGCTGAAGGTTTTCATAAGCTCGCTTCAGGCCACTCGGCGGGGGATCAGCTTTCAGGAGTGGTCCATCTACGCAGAGCGAATGCGCTGCAGCCCACGGCCAAGGGGTCACACAGTTTTGGAGCCTCCGGAGCTGTGCTTCTTGCGGAGATGCAGTTGGTGGCCGTGACCCCCGAGGCCTGCAGCGACATGGGATTCAAGCAACCTTGCGGCACAAGGCCTCCGATGAGGAAGCAGGTTCCCAAAGCCATTGTGAAACCATTTGCATGATGCCCTTGCCTGCCACGCATGTTGAAGCTGAACCCCATGACATTTGGGCTCGCACGACAGGGCCCTTGAGCTTTAGGAAAATAGTGCGATTGCTGCGCCATCCGCGCGTTCTACAGTGGTAGCGGAGCCCCGGCGACGGCTGGGGTGACGCGAGTGGTCTTCTACCTCAAGAGGGGGACGCCCCGTGGCGAGGTGGACGAGCTGGAGGAGAAGGAGACAAAGAACATCCTGAATCGGCTGATCGTCTTCGGCATCTTTTTGAAGCTCATCTAAGGTGGCTTCATCTTGCAGAGGACTTCATCAGCTACGGCAGCCCGGAGAAGTACCTTTACAAAGGGAGTGTTGCGGTCCTAGCATGGAGACAGGGGCACGGCCGACAGGCTTTCCCTGGAGAGGCCAAGGCGGTGGAGGCAATGCGGCTGGCATGACAGCCGGTGGTGGCGATGACGAGGACCCGGATGACGAGTACGAGCCGGTGGACGTGGAGTTGCCAGCAGCAGCCATGGGAGCTGGAACCGCCCCGCGACCAAGATCACGGCCGACTACCCCAACAGCTGGTGAAAGCCGGAAGTTCTTCGACTACAAGATGGACCCAGCACCGAGCTGGGGAGGCGACCAGCCTGAGAAGAATTGGAAAGAGTACCACAGGAATTTGCAGCTGTGGTTGATCGAAGCGGAGTCCAGACTTCCGCCGACCCTCATCGGCAAGAGGATCATAGATGGCATCCCGCTGGGCAGCAAACTGAGTGCTCTGGTGGCTCATCTATCAGTGGATGGCAATGAATTTGTGGGAGCCAATTTCCAGGAAGGCCTTGAACAACATGGCATTCAACCACTTCCGATTGTCGAGATGCACCATTTCAGAATTGGGACCACGGAGAGGAGAGGAGACCTCTTCAAGCAGGTGTACTACAAGACGAGAGCGTTGAGACCTCCAACGTCACTCAGGGAGGCACAAGACATGATACATGCTGTGTCATGGGCTCTGCAGACGATGACCAATCGGTCAGGCTACTCACCCGCACAGAGAGTGTTTGGGAAGCAACCCTCGATGTCAATGGAGCTGACCAGCGATCACAGACGCAGAGCATGGATCAGTCCTGGAAGAAAGCAGAGGAGATTAGAGCTGCAGCCCGGAAAGCCAAAGTGGACCTCGACAGCCATGAGCGACTACAACGAGCACTGAGAGCAAGGCCAAGAAGGGCAAGAGAAGCACATGTTTTCCAGGATGAAGATCCGGTTTATGTTTGGAGAAAAGGCAAGCGTGGTTCGCAGGCCAAGGTCGGACCATGTTTCGTGGTGCTGCAAAAGGGTGACACTGTGTGGATCACCAAGAGGGGAGAACTATGGAAGTGCAACAAGGCGCAGGTGTTTCCCATGGGCAACCTCGAGAAGCAAGGCCTGGAAGTTATTCCACTTGACCTACTTCGGGCCAAGGAGAAGTTGAACTACCAACGTCTGGGTTACATCGATGTGACTCGAGAAGGACTGCCTGCCAAAGAAGCAGAAGGAGAACCTGGTGAAGAAGGACCTGATGTGGAACCACAGGAACCTCATGAACTACAAGCTCCGGAGGAACAGCCAGATGAGGAACAAATCCAGCGAAAGACACCTCGAACGCCTCGAGCACCCCCCGAAGGATTGAGAACACCCAATCCTTCGACACTCGCACCACGGACGCCAACACCGGCACCTTCCACACCGGTAACTGCCAATGCTGCGCCTTCAACTGGACAGAGCATGGAGGGCAACGAGCCTTCATCGTCCTTGACAACCATACGCGGCAGGAAAACGGCAGCGGACGAGCTATGGAGATCGGTGGTGGAGAACGCCGAGAGCAAGAAGAAGAAACCACAAGGAGTGAACCACATCGAAACAACTTTGGTCTACCGACGAGTGGTCGATCATCCAGATCCTGGACGAGAGATTGTGGGTGAACCCCCTGGAGGAATGCAGAGCGGCAAAGACAAGCCGAGCAAGATGGATGAGGAGGATGCGAGGCTGGTGGAGACAGGCGTGAAGAGAAGCCTGGAGGAGAACCAGCAAGCAAGTAGAACCACGACCAGAACGAAGATCTTTGTCGTTTGGCGAGCAGATGACCAGACGGAGTGGGGAAACAAGTCCAACTTCCCCATTGTCGCGAACGAGAGAGACCTGCTGACCTTCGAGGGCCTCGGACACCCTCTACAGAGAGACATCCACAAACACTTGGCCTATCTCACCAAGCAGAGTGGAAAGGAGCTGGACTATAAGCGGCTGACCGACAAGGAGAAGATCCTCTTCGATGCGGCCAAGGAAGTGGAGATCGGAAACCTGGAGGGCAGTAACGCCATCCGCATCATCACGGATGAGAAAGAGTTGGATAAGATCCGAAGGGATTTTCCCAGCCGGATCATGCCATCCCGATTCCTGCTGACCAAGAAAGCGGGAGAAGTCGGAGAAGATTGGAAAGCAAAGGCGAGATGGATTCTACTTGGGCACCGAGATCCTGACGCGGCCCAACTGGAACGTTATGCACCAATGAGGGTGGTCAAGGCGACACTTGGAAGTGAGGCCTTGGCTATGGATGACGCTCTGGCAGAGCTGGAGTGGATTCGGGCACTTTGGTGCGAGATCCTGGACCCGGCCAGTTGCATCTTGGACGGCACGAGGCTCGGGGACAATGAGTCGGTGCTTGCGGTCAGGCAGACGGACAACTCTGAGAGCATTCATGTGACAGATGCCAAAGCGCTGTTTGATTTGCTACAGCGTAGGAGTGGCAACGCTGGGCACTGCCGGCGGGCTCAGATTGATGTGAGTGTCATTTGCATCAGCGCACGGACACTCAGAGTGACAACACACTGGGTTCCGGGCGAGCACATGATCGCTGACCCGCTCACGAAGCGATGCGGGAACAGCCAGCTGATGCGGCGAATTTTGCGTTTGGCGCAATACGCGCTAAGCAAGTCAGGCTTCCATGAGTTGCAGGACAAGGAGCACCCCCCGAAGGATGTGAAACCATTTGCATGATGCCCTTGCCTGCCACGCATGTTGAAGCTGAACCCCATGACCTTTGGGCTCGCACGACAGGGCCCTTGAGCTTTAGGAAAATAGCGCGCTTGCTGCGCCATCCGCGCGTTCTACAGCCATATTCATCACTGATTGAAGTTGATACATACTCTCGTCCAACATAAGTAGCACAAGGCATGTTTGCGCCAGTTGCCAGACTTGACAGCGCCAAAATGAAGGCTTCGCTCTTTGGCGGCTTATTGCCAAGCTTGTTCTCAATTCGCAAGGAGGACCTTGGCTGGTGTTGCAGTTCGACCTGCTATTTATTGGATATGTTATATGTTTGCAGGGTGACACTTTTCTCATCTTGAGGGGCCCAGGGTTGTGACGTTGTTTGCACGCACCGACCGGCGCGTTTCCGCCGGGCGCCGAACTCCAAACACAATGGCCGTCAAACAAGGGTTGTCCTTTCAAGAATGCCTCGTGGAAGAGAACATCGAACCCTAAAAGAAGTGAATGATTCCTTTTGGTTGCAAGAGGCCTGCTCAAAAAGGACCCAGTGGTCAAGACGGAAACCGGGTGAGACCAGGCGCAGGGTGGCCAAGAACATTAGCAGCGCCTGGAGAGCCACTTTGACCCGGAGCGGGCTACGACATCCTGGACGTGATGCTGGAAGGCCAGCTTATACTTCTGGCAGGGAAGCAAAAATAAAATCCAAAATTGGAGATTCTGTTCTTCTCCACCACTGGATGTTTGTTGCTTTCTATACCTTTCCATGTTGAGTTTCAGGAGAGTTCTCCCCTTGCTTTTTCCGGGTGCCATACAATTTACGGGGTTTTCCCCGCTGGACTGGGGTTTCAAAAAAGCGAGAAAGCAAGCAAGCACCCTCCCCCCCCGCCTTAACAGAAGCGATGCTTAGCCAGTCATCAATGAGTTCCTGGCAACGAAACCAGCAGACTCTTCCAGCAAACAATGGCGGCAAAATTGGCAGTCATTGATGGATTGGTTGCTTCCTCTGAATGTCCCATCGCAAGTACTTCTGATATCTCAGGGAGGTCCTGGATTGAGTCCAGTCCTTGTGGTACGGTCTGAGAAGCACTCGGCAAGCCTTTTCTGTCTTCAGTGCAACGCAATGTGTTTTACAAGACTAAGGCTTGTGAGCCAAAGCGAGTGTTGAGACAATTGTAAGAAGGACCGGGCGACCTGTGATGTTACCAGGTTCTATTAGGGGTGCAGGGTTGGTTCAATAAGGATTACGGTGGGTTTGGGGTGGCTTAATGTTAATGTGGTTCAGGGTGTTTAAGAGAATGCAGTTTAGGGTTTACGAGGTTCAAGGCAGGTTTAGGATATGTTTTGGGTGGTGTAGGATGTGTTTAGGGTAGGTGTTGGTTTAAGGTTGTAGGCTTAGGGTGTGTTTAGGGGCGGGTTTGGGGTAGGGTGGGTTCAGGGTGAGTTGAAGGTGGGTTCAGGTGTTCAGGGTTGGCTTAGGTTTGGTTTAGGGTGGGTGTAGGGTCATTTAAAGTCATTTAGGTGTTCAGGGTTGGTTTGGGGTGGGGGTTGGGGGTTAGTTTAGGGCCGCTGCTGGACCACGAATTGGTGGGCTTCGTTGGGCTGTCATGGACACCTTCTCCCTGTGGGTTTAAGGTGTGCTTGTGTCAGGGTTGGTTTAGTGGGGGCTTAGGGTAGGTTTAGAGTAGGTCGAACGGAATAGGGCAGGTGTGTTTATGATCCTGATCCTAGAAAGGACTTGTCTTAGAGCTTGAGGGCGAAGAAAAGAGGTAGCGACTCCACCGGGCCATTTTGGGCCAAGGTGGAGATCAGCCTATCCCCCCTCCATGTGCTGTTCCACCCACCCAGTCCTTTGACAAAGGAGCAGGCCCATGCAAAAAAAAGAGCCAATGAATTGAGCCAATGCAGACGTACAGAGCCAGAAGTTTCAGCTGGCAAGAGAGAGCCAGCAAGCTGTCAGCTCCAGAAGCGATCCTGATCCAGGGTGGGAGGGTATGCATCTTGAAGTCTTGGGAGAGGACTTGTCTTTAAGAGCAACCCGTCCGTCAGGTGACCTCTGGGAATGTCCCAGTAGTGGCGCGCACCCTGTTCCTCCAAAGTTTGAGGCGGATTCGGGGCGGTTGGTTGCCGGATGCCTCACCTGTTGAGTTGCCTGCACCGTCTGTAAACGAAGAAATAAGTTTAGTCGAGCCCCTCCAAAAACAATAGCACTCTTTATTCTGGCCAGTCGACTTGGCCAGTTGCATTGTCCCATTGCCCAGTAACTTGCAACGTTCCGACCTTGGTTGGGCACGTTTGCGCACCCATGCCAATGTACGCATTACGTGGGTAGCCTCCCACACCAAAGAATGACGTGCACATGCCCGTGGTTGTTGGTGCACTTGTTATCAACAAGCAGACACCTTTTTGTTTGTCGACCGTTCTGTCAGTCAGCGCACTTTGCACACTTGCGAGTTGTTTGGGAAAGACACGGGGACATGGGCATCCGCTAACCCCTCTCAGATTGCGGGTTCATTCCCTTTACCAGCTGGTTTTGCAAATGTCGCATGGATGCATTCCTTTGCGTCTGTTTCTTCTCAGTTTGCGCTGCTTGCCATTCTTCGCGGTGTCGACACAACCGGATTCACCGACCATGTGGAATATCCACACTGTTGATCAACGAACATGTCATGTGTTTGTCCAGTGGATATTGTGTGATTTCTACATCAAATGCCAGCTTCACTCAAGTGCCGAAACCGGCACTTGACGATGTGGCACCAATTTACAAATGCCACGAGCGCAACCGAGCGCAACATGGCTGATCATGCTTGCTTGCTGGGCTGGTTCCTTTTTGTGCTCGTCTTGTTGGATATCTCAAGCCATTTTCCGCTCCAGCTAGCAGGCTGACCGACTCATTTGCGCTAGCACCAAAGCGGGAAAGGGGAACTTACCTGGCAGCCCCCGTGAAAGTTGTAAACGCTGCGAGCTGCCCGCTTCGACCATGCGGCTTTGACCATTGTAGCAATTTGTCCGGAGGCGACGCAAGACATGGACAAGCGCAGAACTACCGTTCACAGGAAGTTATCACGGTGCTTGTTTGCTGGGCGGCAGGCAACAGATCGATGCAGTTTGCGGAGACCTGGGTGCCGCGCCCTATGCTGCTGGGTTCAGAATTGGATTGATCGCGTTTGATTCGCGCAACTCCCAAAGATCTGGAGTAAAAGGTTTCACGAGCGACAATTGCAAGACTTGCGCTGTTTATGGAGCGTGCTGTGCATGAATCCATCTGCCGTGCAGAGGAGTGGCTGCATGCCCTCCATCCACGTTGTCTTGGCTGTGGGCGTTTGGATCAGAGGGAAGCCGAGCATGGGGGTGGGGCGAGTGGACATGGCGGATGCTGCGGTTGACGTGGCGAAGGTTCGCGACATTACATTCGGTGCGCAAGTTGGGATGGCTGCCCAGTGCTCAGGCAATGTCCTTGTTGGTCCAGGCAAGCGCCACAACACGCCGGCGCGTGCCTGATCTGAGAGTTGCTCCGTGCTAGCGCCAGGATCCAAAAGACTCAGCTGGGCAGGGCTTCGAGAATTTCAGAGAAGCTTTGGTAGAAATGGCCGGGCATTTTGGCTGTCGTGTTCAGACAGTTTTGGCGAGCAAGTGGGAGTAAGGTGCAATGGGCTGACATGCATGTGTTTGCACATGTAATAGATGTAATAGGTGCACGAGTGCTTGGAGCACAAGCCTGAAGGCCTCTCTGTGGAGCAGCCGCTCGGCAATGGAGTAACCTTGGGACCGGCCACGCGGTTCCATATGGGTTCCATCGCTTAGGTATTTCCAGGAGCACTTGGAGCCCATTCTGAGCAAGTTGGTGGCATGCTGGGCATTTGATCCAATGGTTGTGGTTGTCGGGTTGGTTATGTCTTACATGTCGTTGCACAGGCTGAGGGCAATTTGGGCAATTGCACACTTGCTTAAGGCTCTGGATTGCGTCATCAGCCGACCGCATGACCCCACTTCTCACTTGCAGCAATGGGTGCCTGGCTCGAACTGTTCGTTGGGTCGAAGGCAACGGCCAGTGACTCGCCAGTGCAGCGAGGTCAGCAAGAAGCATGGGGACCATAAGGAGGAGATCTCGCCCATTGCTCGCATGGCCATGAAAAGTTGGCACCACAAGGCCTGCTATTCGCCGGTGTGGCGGTGCCATGGATGGCACACCATGACAGTGCAATGTGCCATGTGCCATGTGCAGCCATGCGCAGCAATATGCAGCCATGTGCAGCCATGAGGGCTGTGAACGGGAGCTGGAGATGCTCCGACAGAAGTACAACCTTTTGAAGGAGGTGTTGGAGTCCTCCGAGCAGGGCTGCCGCGCTGTCCGAGCGGCGGAAGCTGGAGGCGTTGTGGAGAGTTTCGACGCAGAAGGGAGAGGTTCGACTTTTCGACTTTTCAACTTGCGCAGATCGCAATGCCCTTGTGGCGGTGCTCGAGCCCTTGGGCTTGGCTCAGTCAGGCTCAATCCACCCGAGCCGATTCGATTCCCCAAGGCCCGAAGGCCCGAAGGCCCGAAGGGTCAGGGATGCGCCAGGCGAGCCGTCGCCGTTGGGCAAAGTGCTGCGGGCCTTGAGGAGCGAAGGCCGAACACGAAGTGCCGCTTCGAGCTGCCAGCTCCTAGCCTCTAGCCTTGTCTAACCTTAGCCTTGTCTGGCCTTTGAAAGGTGTTTTGCAGTGTGCTTGTGTGTGGCATGCGCAGCCGCCAGGCACATGTTGCTGTGTAAGCGTTCCTCGCTGGGTACACTCACGGCTCTTGGGTTGCGTACATGCGTTTGCGAGTCCCGGTGTTCCATGCTCCCCTTGCTGAATTGAATGCCTCGTGCCCATGATTCAAGAGAGCGTTGCAGGATGCATGCCAAATGAGAGAGGGTTAGCTCGGAGAGGCCAGATGGATTTCTTGAGATCAAGCGCTTTCGCCTTGCCAGGTGTCACAAGCGCTTCAGCTGCGTTTGCACACTTCAGCCCAGATCAGGACTGTTGTGGGGTGGTGCCACAGCTGTCGCAAGTCTGTTTCGTGGGTGCATGCGTGCGTTCGCAGCTGTATGGCCCAGACAATGAGTAGCACACCCAAGACGCAAGGCCCAGCCAGACTGACATTTCAGACGCGAGAAGCATTGCTTGCCTAGCCCGGCCATGGAGCGCGGCTCAAGGCACATTTCTTGGCAGAGTCCGGAGTGGTGCGATGCCAGCACTTGGTCAAGGCATGGGCGCAGGCGTTGTGGGTGCTGTGCCCAGTACACATTCCTGTGCTGTGCATCATGTGTGTTGTTTTGCATGAGGTTGCAATGGGGTGCAGCGATAGCAGGCTTGACATGGCATGTTTGCTTTTTGCTGTAGCCTGGTTTGCACGCTGTTTTGCACGCTGCCCACAGTACAGGCATGAACAGATTCCGGATTCTCGTGCAGGAACATACTCTGCAGCTTTGTGCCTTTGTGCAAGATATTCAAGCCAGAGCCCTAGCGCCAGAACAGCCTTTTGGCCTGAAAAGCTGCCCGACGCGTCTCAGGCGCATTCGTCTCCCCAGTGCCTGGCCTGGGAGCTACATCAGGTGCAAAAGCAAAACACATCGGCATTGCTATTGAAGCCTGGGCGAGGATTGGCCAAATCTGCAGTTCGTCGGCCTCAGGGCTCCAACGCGCAGGTAGGGTCACAAGGTGATAGAAGGTACCAATGTTAGGAGTCGTACTGAGTCGTACTAGTTTTGCTTGAGGATGTCAGGTGGGCACTCACGGCGGCGGGCGTATGCTGGGTGGCTCTGACGTGAGTTCTGCATTGCTTTGCTCGTTCTGTGACGCAGGCTTGCCTGGTGAATGGTGAGAGGCAAGTGTAGCTTTTTGTGGTCCATTGTGGACTTTGCAAGCTCACCTTAGGTTTGGAAAGCTTTGATATACAGTATTGGACAAGCACAATCATGCAGCATGCAGTGTGTTTGAAGATCGAAGTGTCAGACTGCCGATGCTACAAGCACAATGTTAAGAGTGCGCATGAATTCGGAGGAGCAAGACACTCAGGGCTTGCCGTGAGTTGTGCGCAATGGTGCCATGGGTGCACAGAACTGTGCCGAGAAGCCTTGGTGCTTGTCCCCGGCCTGCGACCGTGAAGGGGCCTACTTGGACCTGGTCACGGCACCTTGGCCGAATCTCTGGGTCTGACCGCTCTGGGCTCTCTTGGGCCAACTTAGCCCTACTGTGACTCCTGCCCGTCTTGGGCCTCTTGGCCCGTCTGGGGCCTCCTGGCCCTCTTGGGCCTCCTGCCCTCTTGGACCGCTTGATGCTCGTGGCTGAGGGTGCCTGTCGCTGTCGCTCGCATGTCACAAGTTGTCGAGGCCGGCTCAGTGGTTTCACCGTTGCGAGCGCTGTTCCGCGCTTCCAAGGCAATCCCGAGTCATGGCAGCTGCGGTGCATTCGATGAGGAGCTTGTGGAGGTCGAGTGTCCTGCTGGGGCCATTTTTCCTGAGACGGTCCAGAACCTGCGCCAGTTGGATAGGCTCGTTTTTGGAGAACCAAAGCCGGTACCTGGGTGAAGGGTAGTAGGGACATTGCCAACCAGAAATAGAAGTGGCTTTTCTTGGAGTTTCTTGTAAGAAGTTCAGTGTTCACCGTTACCAACTGTAGTAAAAGTGATGACAACGCTTACATTCACCGTCATACAGCAAAGTGAACTCACCAACATCCTTTCTTCCCACGTCAGAGGAGGGATAACATGAATATCGACTGTGGCTTATGCGGTGTTGGATACCTTGTGATTCTATGTTTGATTGCGACTCACGAGTAGGCGTGTCCGTTTGCCGGCTTCAAGGCCCACTGAGCTGCAATTTGCCCGAGGCACTTCCTGCACTTCTGTGGCACTTCCAATATCGTGGCCGTGAAGTGGCTGTTGTGTTTGGGGGCAAATCCCCAGGCATATGATTCGAACAACACCACGAGCCTCCATGCACCTTGGATGCGATTTCTTGTCTTACAGCCTGTGGCCAAAGGTGGGTGTTGTGCAAGAGAAACTGTGAGGCAGGCCGAGGTACACCTTTGGGCGCGCATCTTGCAAAAGACTCTCAGACATACTCCGCCAAACGTTTTTAACGACAAAACCGATACCAGCAAGCCTCTGGCGCAGTGACAGTTTTCAAGCCGTGTGAAATCGACAAGTCTTGGTTGGCTTGCGCATGAACGACTTGTATGCTGTGCCTGCAAAGCAAGTCAAGTAGTCAAGTAGCAGCTGAACCTCGTGCAAGCACTGGAGACTAATGAAGCAAGATGACAATGTAAGTCCGCTCGGGTCTGCCGCAACTTTTAGCAACGATCGCTTTCCTTTGTGGACTGGGCAGGGTCAGCTCAAACTGCAAGTGGAGCGTAGCTTCTTGATCCAACATTCGATGCCAATTCTTGGGGTTGCATCTTTCGCCGCGGCCGGAGTGTTTTATTGCCCGCAGCCAGCAACCTATCCAACGAAATATTTGCCAAAAGTCGAGCTCGACAACCATGTGTTTGTTCGGAATTGAAGGCTTACTGATGCCTGGGCCCACACTCAACTCGCCGCATGTTGACTACACGCTTCCGAGCCCAGCCTGGAACTATATTGAAGCGTTTGAAAGTGACACCCATCAACTCGCACCCATGGCATAAACGCTATCGCTTCACTTTTGTTTTTGGGGGCATGTACTTTTATCACAACGTGTTGGTTTCATGCCAATACCCAATGCGGTTTGGCTCAAGCTTTTAATCCCGGCGACTTCATCTTGCCATCGCGTCAAAACTGCTGCCAGCGGCGCTGTGCCGGCGCGTGGGAGGTTGTGCCCCACGCTCCGGTCTACGGCGGCTGGGTGGTCTTGGTGGTGGGTCAGGATTCGGGGTTGGGGGTTGCGTGCATTGGTTTGCTTTTGCTTGCTTCGCTGCATTGTTTGCCTGCTTGGTTTGCTGCTTTGCGCTTGCTTTCGGTTGTCTCTGCCCTTGCTGGGTTTCTTTACCTTGTTACAACTGGCACCCTGTTTTGGTTCGTGTTTGGCCAGCCGAGGGCACCACTTTGCCCTTGGGACTGGGGGGTTTAAACAATCTCTTCTTGTTGGTGGGATTGGGCCTGTTTATTCTCTCCCGAAATACTATTTCAAACCCTTTCGCAGGTTATCAGCCGTAGGATTCGTCCTCGGTTGGCACCGCGAACCCCTTTTAATAACAACCCTGCAGGCGCCGTTTTCCATAGGCTACTGTAGGACTGACTCATGGCGGGAATCACTGAGGATGGACCTCATGTGGTGACCGATGAGTGGGTTCTCGGCCAGGCCGGAATCTTGGACGTTGTGAATGACGGCCAGGTGCCCGGACAGCCGATGTTTTCGGGTCCTGACTTTTTGTCGGACCACTCTTTTTCCGAAGCAATGCCTTGAGAGAGATCCAGTGCTACTCGCACTGATGATCTATCGTCTATAATGCCTCAAGAGCTAATCGCTCTCAGGGTCATGGGACTAATCGTCCTGACCATGATGATTCCGTCTCAGGACGTGATGATGACGAGCCCGGTATTGCACCTGGAGCTCAATCCTCATCTTTCCCCGAGCTGATGAATATTGGACAGTCCGAGGTTCGTGACTCCCGAGGCAGCAGTAGACCTGTGCCAACCAGTAGCATAGCATTTCAAGTGCTTGGTAATCCCAAGCCTGGTACATCCAGTGGAGTTGCATTTGATGTTCATCTGCCGAATCCGGTGGGCTAGATTGGAGAGCCTCATGGCCCAACGACGGAAACATTTTTGGCATGGATTTCGCCGCATGGATGCCAGGGCCACCCGCCCCGTCATCTTTCCCGCAATTCCAAAGCCCAAAAAGGGCTGCTGGAAGCGATGAATTCATGTTACCTTTGTCAATTGAGAATCTCAATCCTGATGTGGCCAGCCGTAACGTCAGGCCAAGGCCGTCGGTAAACCCGACCATGAGGAACATGTCCCCTCCCCCAGGACTTTCAGGATTTGAGAGCCCTAGGGAGCGTAATATCGTAGATAGATTGGATTTGCATCCCAGTCCAACCCCAAGCAAACGATCAAGGTCAAATTCGACTGGATCGCATAGGGCAAGGGGGATGGATCGGGAAACTGCCCACAGGGGAAACCCCAGACGCGGGACTCAGGACGCGGTCGATCAGGTGACCCAGCGTCGGTCATTGGAAGAGACCCGTTAAACGCGGACACACTCGTTAACGTGCCTGATGGGATCGAAGCATTCCAGGAGGAATTTAATAGGTCGAGCGGCTTGAACGCACAAAGTGTTCGCCCTACACCCAACGCGGTTCCTTTTTTCGCCTTGGGCAACATGGACGGAGCTAATGTTCCGATAGAATCTGAGTCCATGATGGCATCAAGTTCTAGTCGCAATCAAACCATCAGTAATGCGACTGATATTGAATCGATGTCTGAATCTAGAGTGTCCAACGCGACCGATTTGAATGACATTGTTATTGCTGACTCGAGACCTGATGTTCCTATGCGAACTGATAGGCCTGTTGTTCCTAAACTGTCCGTTGCCAAAGGCCTGGGCATGACACAACCCTCGGCGGTTCGTGATGCTAGGAGATCTGCGCCATACCAGAGCCAATCTCCTAATCGGAGTGAGTTCCCACGGCCATCAACGGCCGTGCAAGATGATTTCAGAACTCCTCCGAGATCTAATCCAGTCATGATTGATCTGTCCACTCCTCGGGACCGTGGATCAAGGCATAGTCCAATGGGTGAAGATCAGCCCAATGAGGTTGCTGATCTTGTCACGGCCCTTGAAAGAGGGAAAGTGGACTCTTCCGTAAGTGCGATTATTCATCGCCTAGTTGCTAAGGTCGAAGACCTTTGGGAATAGGAGTGATAGAAGTGATCAATGCATCAGGCAACTAACCACTGAGGTCAACTCGTGGAGAGCCAAATATGACCAATGCGTCCATGTGAACAACACATGTACGCAGGCTGCAAACGTGTCGATGCAGCTGTCGCAAGGGGCTAGGGATGTCGTAACCGAGCTTGGCCAACGAGTCAAGATCATTTCCGATCGTACGACTAGCTTAGGCGACGCCCTAAATGAACGGGCCAGCTATGACGACGTCGCTCGATCGATCGTCCAAGCCCAAACTGTTTTTGAGTCTCTTTCTGATCGAGTTGCCGAGCTTGTTACTCGTGTTGAAGCAATCGAGAGATCCCTTGTGGAAAGTCAATCCAATCATCCTGCGAGTGGCGGTGTGAACCTCAAAATCGAGGACTTATCCACCAGGATGTCTAACATTGACAGGATGATGCAAAACGCCGAACAGTGTTGGCATACCAACAAGGAAGGCATTAAGTGGATCAAGGACCAACTCTGCGAAACGCAGACTAATTTAGAGGTCAAATCAAGGGACTGCAAGTCCTACACGGACAAGCAGAATACTCACAACATGGCTGTTTCGACTACGCTCAACAGCAAGCTTGAGCAGATGCTCAACGTGCAAAGTAGCACGGCCCAGAAAATTAACACTCTCGAATCAAAGTACTCGAGCCATGCAACGAGCAGTGGATTGAATGATCACGCAGGGGGTAGGCGTGCCACTTCCCGTACTCCGGATAAGCGGCCACCTCCGCCTAGTCCTCCTGATAATGATCCTCCACCACCGCCTCCTCCTGATCGGCAAAGCCCAGGAGGAGGGGGGAAGAAGAGTGCTGCCGGTGGAAATCCTGGCAACGCTGGAGAACCCAGATGTAAATACATGGGTGATGGGCGCATCCACCTTGTTGCTGAATTTCGTT